CAGCCGAGGGCCCGAGGTGGGAGCCTGGAGCCGAGGCCCGGGATGATTTGTCGTTGCCTAATGAGATTAATGAGCCCCGGGGGCTGGTATGCGGCGGCGCTGGGGCTCTCATTAGACGCGGATGCTCACGGGAACGGTGGGGGGCGGGCGGGGGGCTGCGGATCCCCGGCCAGGTGGTTTCCATTAATCTGTGGGCGGGGCCGGGGCCGGAGGCCGGGCGCTGGCCTTCCCCACCCCCCCACTCCCCACTCCCTGCCCTCCCGGCTCGCGCCGCCGGAGAGGAACGCGGCGCAGAGGCTGCCCGAGGGCCCCGGCAGGGAGGCTAATGGGTCCGGGGACAGCCCTCCTGCTCGCTGCTGTAGGCCCAAGGCCTGGCACGGGGTATGTGCTCCATAAATACCTATTGGATGAGGTCAGAGACAAGAGGGGCCCGGGGCATGGGGGTGGGAGGGGGCCTCGGACCGTCTGGGTTTTCCTCCTGGACCCCAGGACCTCTCCCCCCCCCCACCCCATCCCCGAGACATCCTCTGTACCTACGGGGGTGTCGCGCCCACTCCGCAGCCAGCCCTCCCCACCCCCCCTTTCTAAGGAACCCTGAAAGTCCTGGAGGGCCCGAGGGAGCTGCTCTGCGGCCTCCAAACCTATAATTTGGTTTTCAAACCCACAAGCAGGGAGGTCTGTGGGGGCCAGAGGGAGCCAGCTTCGTGTGCTGCCCCACCCTGTCCGAGTGTGGGTACACACTCACACACACACACTCAAATACATACTGTCATACAAGCGCACACACTCAATAGTTTAGTGAGACCTAATTTACGTACCATAAAGTTCCCCCATTTAAAGGGGAGGATCCAGTGGTTTTGAGTACACTTACAGCTGTGCACTCATCGTCATAATCTAATTTTAGAACATTTTCATCATCCCTAAAGCAACCTTGAATCATTAGCAATCACTGCCCCCATCCTCCACCCGCTGTATTTCCCAGCCCTGAGCAAACGCTGGGCTTCCCAGGTGGCTCAGTGGTAAAGAACCCGCCTGCTAATGCAGGAGACTCTGGTTGGATCCCTGGGTCAGGAAGATCTCCTGGAGAAGGAAATGGCAACCCACTCCAGTATTCTTGCCTGGGAAATCCCATGGACAGAGGAGTCTGGCAGGTTCCAGTCCATGGGGTCACACAAGAGTCAGACACAACTTAGCATCTAAACAACAAAGCAACAACAAACAATGGTAACTTTAACTGCCAAGCTGTTTTCCAAAGTGGCTGCGCCATTTTACACTCCCATCGATAACACAAGGATTTCAGTCTCTGTTTTTAAAATTATAAGCATCTTAGTGGACAAGTATTTCCCTAATGGTGTTGGGCACCTCTTCATGCATTCATTGGTCATCCTCTTTGAAGAAGTCTGTTCACATCCCTTGCTCATTTTTTCAGCTGGACTATTTGGCTTTTTATCATTGAGTTGTAAGAGTTCTTTATATAATCTAGATAAAAGTCCCTTATCAGATATATGATTTGCACATATTTTCTCTCATCCCATGGGTTGCCTTTTCTTGGGTGATATTCTTTCAGGAGCAAAGGTTTAAAATTTTCAAGTCCAATCTATCAATTGATCTGCTGTTTTATTGCTTGTGCTCACACTGTCTTACACATTCAGCTCCTTGCACTCACACACTCAGTCTTAACACACTCAGCTCCTTGAGCTCCTTTCTCCCAAGAAGGGTATAGGGTGAGATTTGCTCCCAGGAGTCCCCTGCCCCCCAACTTCTGCCATAGGGGGATCCTGCTCCTCCATGTGGGCACAGATACGGGGGGGGGAGGGATATGTCTGGAGTTGGGGAGCCTGGTCTGGGTTAGGAGGGGTTAGGAGTGGTGAGGGTGGGGAGGGAGGTTCACCCATAAGCTGCCTTTTCTCCAGGTTCCAAGAGCAGGGAGGGCCCTGTGAAAGCAGATGGGGTGAGGGGGTGGAGATTACAGAAGGATGCACATCATGGACGCATCTGTGCGTCCTTGTGACCTCACCTAAGAGATGAAGGGATCGGATGAGAAAGACCAGAGCAGGGGTTTGTAACCTGGGTTCCACGAGCCTCTGAAATCAGGTGCATAGTACTGGGGGGTAGTGCATTCTCCTGGGGCGGGACTCCATAGCCCACAGCAGATACTCAAATAAGGATTCCACTCAGCCAGGAAGGTGCTAAACCACCAATCAGCCGGTAGGGGCCTCAGAGGCCCACGGAAATACCCAAGTTCTATGTGAGCATCTCCTCCTACCTGCCTCTCTGGAGGGTATAGCCCCAGAGCTGCGCCCCCACCTTGGGGACCAGGAGGCCTGGGCTGCTGGGGGCGGACGGGAGCAGGCAGCCCCCTTTGGGCTATCAATTCAGCGCAGGGAGCTGCCCCTGGCCCGTCCCCCCCTTCCCCTGGAGAGGACCGGGACGGGTAGATCCGGGCCAACTCTGAGGGCACTCTGTCCAGGGGCTGCCTTGCCCACCCCGGAAGCTGCTCTGCGGGTGTGAGACTAGGGGGTCGGGACCGCCGACACTTGCTGGAAGCTCCCCTCTCCGAAGACTCCGGTGGCCAGCGGGGGCTGCAGGAAACCCGGGGCAGGAAGGGGCTGGGCCCAAGCCGCCTGCCTTGCTCCCATCTGTGGAGCATCAGTGGGGCAGCTGGGTGGGGGTTCTTGGGGGGGGTGCCGGGGAGGAAATGAGAATAAACACAGTGAGCAGAGGGAAGGGGCGGGGGGCTGCGGCCCGGGCCCCTTGGCAGCCCATGAAGGGAAGTGACACAATGAGGAATGTGTTTCCCCCGCACGGGGTGGGAGGCAGAGCCCTGAGAACGGCCAGACCCCCAGAGGGGCCAGGGGGCACAGGCCAGAGCGGCATTGGAGGCGGGGGATGTGCGGGTGGGGCTCTGGGCAGCAAGGGGGGGTGGGGAGCGGGCAGGAAGGGCAGCTTGGGGTGGGGGCCGTCCCCATCTCCAGACTCCACCCTGCAGGAGCCTTCTGGGCGCTTCGTTCTGGCACATTCCCCGCCTGCACCCTGGGGGTGGAAGTCACCCCGTGGGACGCGGCCCTTCCGGTGGCTTCCTCTTCTTTCTCAAGGGGCGCAGGGTCATGGAGGTCTGGTCCTTGGTGGGAGAGGGCGCTGAGGTGTGAGGACCCCGGGCCAGGGGCAGGGCTGGGCAGGGACGTGTTCCACTTCCCTGTGTTCATCTGTCTCTCTTTCTCTGTTTATGTCTTTGTCTCTCTGTCTCTCTGTCCATGTCTCTGTTATTGTCTGTCTCTGTCTCTCTGTCTCTTTCTGTCTCCATCTCTCTGTCTCTCCATTTCTCTGTTTCTCTCTCTGTTATTGTCTGTCTCCATCTCTCTGTCTCTGTCTGACTCCATCTCTCTGCCTCTCTATCTCTCTGTTATTGTCTGTCTCTGTCTCTCGGTCTCTTTCTGTCTCTTTTTGGGTGTTTTTGTCCCCAGCTGGGGGCCAGTGTGAAAACAGGCCCCCTGGTGGGAAGGCGCCTCCCCATCCCGGACACCCATTTCCTCTCCCCCTGCAGGGAGCTGGCTCAGTTAACCCCCTCCTGCCCAGAATCCAGAGCTGCCCGCAGAGCCAAGAGCCCCTTCCTGGGGCTGGGGCTGGGGGTGGCCAGGCCTTGGAAAGCAGGTTGGCCCCACCGGCCAAGCTAGGTGGGTTACTTCAGGACCACCACTGCCCCGCCCCGCCCCTCCCCAGCCATGCTGCCTCTCTCCTGGGTGCTCAGGGGACCTGCCAGGATGCTAGAGAGCAGGAAGCGGAGTGGAGAGCCTGCAGCCCCCTCCCGATGGGCAGTGAGGCCTCCTGGTGGGGTCTCTGTGAGCCCTGAGCTGGTTTGGTTCAGGAAAGACCCAAGCGGGCCTCGGGGAGTGCGGGCTGGACAAGCAGCTGGTCGGGCCGGGCCCCCCTCCTGCTGCTGTGACCACAAGGGGATGGGGCGCTGACACAAGCAGGCCCGGCCCTCATCTTGGTGGTCCCAGAGGGCTGCCGGGTCTGGTGGGGGTGCTGGGGCCGGGGGGGTCTCTGCCAGCCCTCTGGGACGTGACAGAGGGGAGGGAGGGCGACACTCTGGCCATGCGGTAGAGTCTGAGCCACAGACTACCCTGCAGGTCACTCCTCCTGGGGGGTGCCCCTTGGCCCTGGGGAGCCCGGGGGGGCGGTCACCATCTTGCCTTCCGTTCAGTCTGTGACCTGCTGGAGGCCAGCCTGAGGTGACACTTCCCCTGCCGCCTTCTGTCTGCACTGGGGGCTCCGAGGCGATCTGGCGGAAGGTGGCCGGTGGCCCCTGTGGCCTCAGCTTTCCCATCTGAGGGCTGAGGGGTGCGGCTGGGTGATAGATAGCAGGCAGCATCCCGCAGCAGCCAGCCTGCCAGCCAGGGATGACTCCTCACCCAGGATGAGAGGGCCACAGGATTAACTCCAGCATATCTCCCCATATCCAGGCTCAAGGGGACTGCCTTTGTGTGGCAAACCTCGTGCACAGAGGAGGGGCCTGTCGGGCGGTGGGGTCACAGAGAGTCGGACACGACTCAGGGCCTGAGAACGGCAGTCCGCAGAGGACGGTCATGCCTGTTTTCAAACGCTGCGACGGCAGCTCTGAGAGATGGAGAAACTCGGGGCCGCTCGTGGGAGCTGGGGCCTCCTGACACCAGGGTCGGGGGTCGGGGCCCTCCCCTCCCATTTCCACCGGGTTCGCCACCTCGTTCATCTATCCGTCCATCCGTCCGTCTGTCTGAGGCCTTTCTGCACCCTCCCTGCGCCGGTCTGACCAGGGAGCCAGGGAGGCCGCGGGCCCCCATCTGATGGGCCAGGTGCTTCATGCTGCCTCACAGCCGGCACTCAGGAGAGCAGGATTTAGAGGGAAACAGAGACCCCAGCCCCGACTAGGGCAGGGGCTGCTCACCCAGGCGGGCCGTGTGCCCCCCACCCCTAGTGGGCGAGGTGTCAGGGCCCCCCCCCCCCCCGCTTGTCTCCCGCAGGGACCTGAGAAGCAACGTCATCAGCACGGTGCAGCCCGGCGCCTTCCTGGGTCTGGGGGAGCTGAAACGCTTGTGAGTGGCGTGTCCTGACCAACCCCCCCCCACCAGGCCCTGCATCCCTGGAGGAGGTCCCATGGATCCCAGTCACCCACCGTCCCTCCTCACCACACATACGGGGTAGGGGGGCAGACACTTCACGGCCCAGCCCCGTCTCCTTTTTCTCTGCTCCCCACACAAGCCCCAGCCTCACACGTGTGTCCTGCACACATGGGCCCGTGTGCTGCCACGTGGCCAACATGCTGAGGGTCTTCGTGTCTCTCCAGGGACCTCTCCAACAACCGGATCGGCTGTCTCACCTCCGGGACCTTCCAGGGCCTCCCCAGGCTTCTCCGGCTGTGAGTGCGGGGCGGGGAAAGCGGGAGGTGGGGGCCAAGGGAAGGCTCCCCAGACCTTCACGGGCCCTGCATTCTCACGGCTCACCCCCAGCCTCCGGCCCCCGTCAGCCCAGGGAGAACCTAAGATCCTGTCTCCCTGTTCCCCTGCAGAAACATATCTGGCAACATCTTCTCCAGTCTGCAGCCTGGGGTCTTTGATGAGCTGCCAGCCCTTAAGGTGGTGTGAGTATCCTTCCCCCAGGCCTCTGCTTCCTTCCTCGGCCGGGAGGGGGACACATAAACGCTGCGACCACGTGGCCAGCTCTCTGAGGAGGCGGGCAGACGATGGGCTGCGCCAAGCCCCTCCGAGTGCGGTGGTGATGGCCGCAGGGCGCACGCTCGCGGAGTTTGCCTTCTCCAGCCTCAGTCTCTCCCTGGGGCTCCATCCCCACCCGGGGGGCCCCGGGAACCCCTCCGCTCTACCCTGGGTCCCTCCACCCTCTGCAGGGACCTCGGCACCGAGTTCCTGACCTGCGATTGCCGCCTGCGCTGGCTGCTTCCCTGGGCCCGCAACCGCTCCCTGCAGCTGTCAGAGCGCACGCTCTGTGCCTACCCCAGCGCCCTGCACGCCCAGGCCCTGGCCGGCCTCCAGGAGGCCCAGCTGCGCTGTGGTGAGCAGACCCAGGCCCTCAAGGCTCCCTCCTGCAGGGCCCCCACGGACTCAAGGCTCCCGAGGCGGTGGGCTTGGTCTCCAGGGTGTCCTCTCCCTTAGATCCCACTGGGGACCCGTCCTCCATCCGATTTTCTAAACTTCCTTGGGGAGCGCTGCTTGGTTTATATTTTCGTCTGGTCCCTCCTCTTGGGGTGACAAAGCATGCTGTGGAAAGAAGCAATTTTACTTGTTCAAAACCCACCTGCTCCTCTCCTCTGCTTTAGTCTCTGGAGACGCTCCAGCCCCCTCCTTCTGAACTAGGGTGGGCTCCAGACAGAGGGGCCTGGTCCCCACCTGACACTCAGCCTCACTCCCGGTGTCCCCACCCGCAGAGGGGGCCCTAGAGCTACACACACACCACCTCATCCCATCCCTCCGCCAAGTGGTCTTCCAGGGCGACCGGCTGCCCTTCCAGTGCTCGGCCAGCTACCTGGGCAACGACACCCGCATCCGCTGGTACCACAACCGGGCCCCCGTGGAGGGTGATGAGCAAGCGGGCGTCCTGCTGGCCGACAGCCTGGTCCACGACTGCACCTTCATCACCAGGTACAGGCCCCGAAGCCCCTTCTCAGCCCAGAGCACGGACCAGGGGAGCCAGAACCCTCACCCACCCACCCCCGACAGGAGCTGGTCTGCTCCTGGGAATATCTCTGGGCGCGTTTATGCAGATCCAGAACTAAGTCAGAAATGGTCTGCGTGAGGGATACACACTGAATTGTTGTTTTAGTCAGTAAGTTGTGATCGACTCTTCTGCGACCCCATGGACTGTAGCCGCCAGGTTCCTCTGTCCATGGGATTCTCCAGGCAAGAATACTAGAGCGGGTTACTGTTTCCTTCTCCAGGGGATCTTCCCGACCCAGGGGTCAAATCAGAGTCTCCTGCATTGGCAGGTGGATTCTTTACCACTGAGCCACCTGGGAAGCCCTACAGATTGCCTGATAGGAAAAAAACTGATTAAATCTGACATTTCTTCCGTGCCTTTACAATGATACAGAGGGTCTCACCTATACTGTTGGACTTGCTCTCTGCAAATGATTTGCAAGAGAGGTTTTCTTACCTCCATGATGAGGGTGGGGAGACTGAAGCCTAGAAAAACACTATCGTAAGGCCAGCATTATGAGCCTGTACCCTTGGCTCAGAGCCTGGGGGACTTGCGTGGTGGTCCACTGCTGGGGGCCCAGGTTCCATCTCTGGTGGAGGAACTAAGATCTTGCATGACTCAACCGAAAAAGAAAGAAAAGAGCCTAAAGCTGGTGCCCTGCGTGCTGCGGCACCCGGGCGCTCGGGGAGGGTGGCGTGGCCGCCAGGAGCGCCTCCAGCCAGCCCTCGCCTGCCTGCCCACCCACCCGCAGCGAGCTGACCCTGTCTCACATCGGCGTGTGGGCCTCAGGCGAATGGGAGTGCTCCGTGTCCACGGCCCAGGGAAATGCCAGCAAGAAGGTGGAGATCGTGGTGCTGGAGACCTCGGCTTCCTACTGCCCGGCTGAGCGCGTCGCCAACAACCGCGGGGACTTCAGGTTCGGGACCACCCCTGGCCACCCCCATGCCCCCCAGCCTCTGAGACACGGCTGAACAGTCTCCCGTCTGCTCTAAGATGGAGAATACACTTCCTATTGTCATTCAGCTCTGAGTCCCGTTTTGGTGTGTTTACAGAAACCATATGTCCTTTTGTATAAAATCACCCTTCAAGATGTGCTCTGCAGAACAGGGGCTTGGGGGTTTCTTGGGGGGCAGTTGCTTCCTTACATGCATAGTTGACAAAACTCTCCCATGACAGATGTCACATTTTAATATCCCAGGGGCTCTCCCTTAGTCAGGGCAGGTGTTACTCTCCCATCGTACAGCTGAGAAGACTGAGGCCCAGAAAGCATAAGTGACCTGAACTCAGGACTCCAAGGCCAGCCCCGCAGCAGTGACAGCACTGTCCCAACAAACACAGCTTAAGAACGCAGGGGGAGCTTGGGAAGCCCTTGAAGTCCAGTCCACATGGCCTTTTCTGGACCTTGCCTCCAGCTCCCAAGGGGTCTGACCTCACAGTTCTCAGGGCAGGGAAGGGACGCACCCTGGCCCTGAGGAGCCTGGGTCATCAGCAACTCTCCACCTCGCCCCCAGGTGGCCGCGAACTCTGGCTGGCATCACAGCCTACCAGTCCTGCCTGCAGTACCCCTTCACCTCGGTGCCCCTGAGCGGGGGAGCTCCTGGCACCCGAGCCTCCCGCCGGTGCGACCGAGCTGGCCGCTGGGAGCCAGGGGACTACTCCCACTGTCTGTACACCAACGACATCACCCGGGTGCTCTACACCTTCGTGCTGGTGAGGCTGGGGTGAGGGTGGAGGCTGCGGGGAATGGGAAGGGGAAGGGGCTGGGGGCCCCTGCGTCCTTGGGAGGCCACGGGGAATGGGAAGGGGAAGGAGCTGGGGGCCCCTGCGTCCTTGGGAGGCCACGGGGAATGGGAAGGGGAAGGGGCTGGGGGCCCCTGCATCCTTGGGAGGCACGGCGAGGAGCCACAGGGCCAGTGCTGTATCTTGTGCTCATCTCCTCTTCCAGGGGATTCAGACTCCCCAGGGCCACACTCGGGACGTGTGGGCCACCCCGAGCATCTTTGTCCCCCAGTACAGCAAGGTCAGCCTTAAGAGGAAAGCGTGAGGTCATCCCGTTGTCCTTAGGTGGTGGCACAGCTGGAGGGCATCCCTGAGTCATGCAGACCTCGCTCCTTATATCTGCATCTCCCATCGGGATCAGACTCAGATGTGGGCAGGACCCTGCTCCCCAGGCCCCGTCACCAAGCATCAGCACAGAGAAGGGGGCTCCTGGGGGGCGTTTTGGGGGAGAAGGAGCCGGAATGGATGGTGCCCTTTCCTCCCCTCTCCAACCCAGATGCCCATCAACGCCTCCAACGCGCTGACCCTGGCCCACCAGCTGCGAGTGTACACGGCCGAGGCCGCCAGCTTCTCCGACATGATGGATGTTGTCTATGTGGCTCAGATGATCCAGAAGTTTCTGGGTTATGTCGACCAGATCAAAGAGGTGAGATTCAGTCAGGCCTCTGGGTCCCTTGGAAATCACCCGCGCCCCCAACCGCTCAAGCCTCTGCTGCCCCAGGCCCCCTCCTGCCCATGTGACTCACGCCCTCCCGCCCCTCCCGCCCCCAGCTGGTGGAGGTGATGGTGGACATGGCCAGCAACCTGATGCTGGTGGATGAACACCTGCTGTGGCTGGCCCAGCGCGAGGACAAGGCCTGCAGCGGCATTGTGGGTGCCCTGGAGCGCATCGGGGGAGCCGCCCTGAGCCCCCACGCCCAGCACATCTCTGTGGTACCGTGGGCCAGCTGGGAGGCTGCCCCAACAAGGGAGGGACAGGGAGGGGCCTTAGAGGTGACAGGGGTCAGCCCCAGCCCTCATCATCCAGGAGCAAGTCCAAGTGTGGGCCGGCCATGCGCCTGATTTATCAAGAACCCAAACGTGACTAGGGTCCCGTCCCGGTCATGTGGCATCAAATTCCAGCTTGTCAGGGGCAGTGCAGAGGACAGGGAGGCCAGTGACACCATAGAAGTTACCCAAGGCTTTGTGCGGGGTCCTGAGCTGAAAGGCTGTGTTGTTTAGCCACTAAGGTGTGTCCGACTCTTTGCAAATGCATGGGCCATAGCCCGCTGGGCTCCTCTGTCCATGGGATTCTCCAGGCAAGAATACTGGAGTGGGTTGCCATTTCCTTCTCCAGGGGCTCTTCCCTGCCCAGGGATTGAACCCACCTCTCCTGCATTGGCAGGAGGATTCTTTACCACTGAGTTGAAGGGCTAGGCAGATGGAAATACACAAGAAGGGGCAGGGAGGAGGAGAAGGACCAGGAGGAAGGTTTGGAAGCAGGCGGCAGCGCTGGGATGGAGTGGGGGCTAATGGAGACTTCTGTTCCCCGAGAAGGAGGACGTTTCCAGTGAAGGGTGGTGAACTATTAACAGTCAACAAGGAGGCCACAGCATCTCCTCTGGGCACCAGTGGGGGGGTGGCGGGGATACGAGGAGGGCACGTGGACCCTGCTCTCTGGCTTAGTTGGGGCAGGAGGACCAGGGTGTGTGGGGAGCTGAGCTGGCTGCAAGGTGGGGGGTGAGTGAGCAGGAGGAAGGGCGGGTCAGCACTGGGGGGACTTCACGGCCGACTCGGGGCTCCCTGGCCCTGGGCGATGGGCAAGGGACCGGGGGTTGGTCGGAGCAGGTCTGTGGTCTCGAGCAGGAGCAGGCTGGGAGAAGGTGATGGGTCCCTGTCCCTAGAACTCGAGGAACGTGGCGTTGGAGGCCTACCTCATCAAGCCTCACAGCTACGTGGGCCTGACCTGCACGGCCTTCCAGAGGCGGGAGACGGGTGCGCCTGGTGCACGGCCCTCGGGCCCCGGCCAGAGCCCATCGCCCGAGCCGGAGCCCCCGGCCGACCAGCAGCTCCGCTTCCGCTGCACCACCGGCAGGCCCAACGTGTCTCTGTCGGCCTTCCACATCAAGGTGGGCGTCGGGGAGGCATCCCGGGGACCCCGGGCGTCTCTGAGGAGCTCCCGTGTCCCCCCCAGAACAGCGTGGCCCTGGCCTCCATCCAGCTGCCACCCAGCCTGTTCTCGTCGCCCCCGGCGGCCCTGGCCCCCCCGGCGCCCCCAGACTGCACCCTGCAGCTGCTCGTCTTCCGCAACGGCCGCCTCTTCCGCACATTGGGCAACACCTCCCGCCCAGGAGCCGCGGGGCCTGGCAGGAGGCGCGGCGTGGCCACCCCTGTCATCTTTGCGGGGACCAGTAAGGATCCCGCCCTCTGTCCTGCCCCGCCCCGCCCTTGCCCGCACTCCTGATCCCCGCTGGAGGCAGGGGACGGTGGCCCCTGCACTGTTTCCAAGGACGATGCTGGACGGGGGTGTCCCGTGAAGGAAGAGACAGGAGGAGAAAAGGCTCCGGGGACCCGGGGTTTCACATCCCAGACTCGTCACATTTCCGAAGGGCTCGAAGGACAGGTCCTCCACCTGCGTGGGCCTCCCTCTGCTCCCCGTCATCACCTGGTGCCAGCTCCCCCCACGGGGTGCCTGCCCCCCCCATCCTCCCTTCACTCTCACCGTCCACCTTCTTGTCTCCAGCCCCCGAGTCCTCCCTTCCTGGCCACGCGGCCACGACCCCTTTGGCACTAAGGTGGGCCACCAGCTCGCTGTGCCTTTATTTTGATTCATCCTTCCATCTCCCCAGTTAGGCTGAGGCTCTGGGGTGGGGTGGGGGGCGGGCCTGCATGTGGCATCTAACTCTATCCCCCAGCCCCCCCCCCCCAAGCCCCCACACACCCGCCCAGGCCTGAGTGGACCTCCCTCCCCTTCCCACCCTAGGTGGCTGCGGCGTGGGGAACCTGACCGAGCCGGTGGCCGTCTCGCTGCGGCACTGGGCTGAGGGGGCCGAGCCTGTGGCGGCCTGGTGGAGTCAGGAGGGGCCGGGGGGACCCGGGGGCTGGCGCTCTGAGGGCTGCCAGCTGCGCTCCAGCCAGCCCAACGTCAGCTCCCTGCACTGCCAGCACCTGGGCAACGTGGCCGTGCTCATGGTGAGCTGAGTGGGCACCCGGGGTCGGGGGCGGAGGGCACTCTGACCACCTGGGGCCACAGGGAAATACGGAAAGAACGGGGGCCTGATGGGGCCTCGAGATGGGAGTCCCTCTGGTCTGCCCCACATCTCTCCATCTCTGAGGAGACAGGGAGGTCCTCAGGCCCTCTTATCAGGAAAGAGAACGTGTTAGTCGCTAACTCATGTCTGATTCTTTGCAACCCAACGGGCTATAGCCTGCCAGGCTCCCCTCTCCATGGGGATCCTCCAAGCAATGATGACTGGAGTGGGTCATCATTCCTTTCTCCAGGGGATCTTCCAGACCCAGGGATCGAACCAGGGTCTCCTGCATTGCGGGTGGATTCTTTACCATCTGAGCCACCAGGGAAGCTCCAGACCCTTTTGGGGGAAAAAAAAAGGAAAAAAAGCCCCACAGCCTTTTGGGAAAAACAGATAGACAGGGAGGTCCTCTATTCCCATGTCGAGAGAGATGGCTCAGGAACCACCAGGCCGGGTCTCCACATCCTTCACTCTGACACCCGGGTTGTTAAAGTGAAAAATGAACCTGAGAATGTCTGCCCTCTGTCACCCTCCCCGCCCAGCCCTGTCCAGCCCCTCACCTCCTGCACACTTCATAGCCCACATTCCCAGATCCTGAGCAGGTATGCAGCTGTGCCATAGATAGTACCTTCTTCCTCTTTCCTCATCGCCGATTTTCAGGCTGGGAGCCTGCCAAGTTCTCAGAAAGGCGGATCGGGAATGCCACCTAGACCAACTTTCTAAGAGTAGATGTGGTGGTGGTTACATCTTTGCTACCCGGATAGCAAAGGGCCAAAGTTGGGGCCCAAGGCTGACTGGGCTTAGGAGGGGAACTGGCGTGGGGGACCAGCCCGGACCCCACAGGGGGCCTCTTGGTCCCTGGCTTCCTGTTCCTCACTCCTGTCTTGTCTCTCCAGGAGCTGAGCGCCTTCCCCAGGGAGGCGGGGGGCTCCGGGGCGGGGCTGCACCCCGTCGTGTACCCCTGCACGGCCCTGCTGCTGCTCTGCCTCTTCTCCACCATCATCACTTACATCCTCAACCACAGGTGAGCTCCTGCAGGAGAGGGTGTGCGGGGAAGGCCGAGGGGGTCGCTCAGCCCTGCCAAGTGTCCCTTCCCCAGGCTCCTGCCCAGCATTTCCTGTGAGCGTTGTGAGGTTGGAAAACACGTCTGGGGCTTAAGGTGTCTGTCCCGTTTCACGCTCACACACCGATGTCTGCCTTCTCTTCGAATCTCTCAGTGGTCTTGAGAGCCCACGGGCCTGACCTTGGGTTGCACGGTTCACTAACTAGACACCGTTTCTGCGGCAGCTCCATCCACGTGTCCCGGAAGGGCTGGCACATGCTGCTGAACCTGTGCTTCCACATGGCCATGACCTCCGCCGTGTTTGCGGGAGGCATCACGCTCACCAACTACCAGATGGTCTGCCAGGCGGTAAGCAGGGGGAAGGGCTGGGGTCTCTAGGACGGATGCCAGCAGCCTGGGCACAGAGGAAGGAGGCACACAGGCCGGAAGTAGGGGTGGGTCACGGGCTCCAGCTCCACGGTTCTTGGCCCAGCCTTTTGGGGGGTGGTGTGGGCATGACAGTATGGGGTGGTGAGAAGCAGAGAAACTAGGAGCTGGGGTGAAGTGGAGGGTGGGGGGCCTGCCTGGGAAGAGCAGTCGGGCACAAGGCCGGCAGCAACGACAGGGTCATGGAGCCACCCCAACGCGTGGAGGAGAGCCCTGGGCTGGAAGTAGGGTAACAGCAGGGATGCAACCCTGGGGACGGTCTGGGTGGAGCTGGGGGTGGGGCACGTGGGAGGCAGGGGAGAACACTGGGGGCTGAGGCTTCGGGGTGGCCGGCCCCCCAGCCCTCAGCCCTTGATCCCACAGGTGGGCATCACCCTGCACTACTCTTCACTGTCCACACTCCTCTGGATGGGCGTGAAGGCCCGCGTCCTCCACAAGGAGCTCACCTGGAGGGCACCCCCCCCACCAGAAGGGGATGCTGCCCCGCCTGCCCCCAGACCCATGCTTCGGTAGGCGCTTCCATCTGTCAGCTTTGCGGTGGGGAAGGGCTCCGGGGGTTGGGGAAAGACATCAAAGGCAGTTCTCCCAGGGTGGATGCAGGCTGGGTCCAAGGTCCTGGGAGGTCACACTCCCAAGACACAAGAGGAGGTGGGGGGCTTCCCTGGCGGTCCAGTGGTTAGGACGCGGTGCTTTCACTACCATGGCCTGAGTCCGGTTGCTGGTCAGGGAACTAAGACCCTGTGGCTCTGTGGCCATGAAAAAAAAAAAAAGGCAGGAGGGGCAAGGCCCTAGGTGGCACCCAAGTGTGCCCAGTGCTATGGAGGGGTGCCGCCTCGGGGTTTTCAGGCTTGCCACGGCCAGGCAGTAAGCGGCTTCGCGGGGCACTGGGCAGGAATCCTGGGAACCAGAGCGGCACTGAGTTCCATGCTGTTTAGGGGGACAGAAAGCAGCTCTGGCCTCTATCCCTTAGACCAGTCTTGGCCAAATCCCCTAGGGACCTAGACCTGCCCTAGAGGGGCCTTGCATCCCTGGGAAAAAAGAAAAAAAAAAAAAAACTCGCACACGATTTCCCGGGGAAGGAGGATGGGGCGGAGACCCCTCGGTGAGGGTTCCGAGCACCAGGTCCCCTCCTTGTTTCCCATCTCTCTGACCCCCAAACCCCCTCTCTCCAGGTTCTATCTGATCGCGGGAGGGATCCCACTCATCATCTGTGGTATCACTGCCGCTGTCAACATCCACAACTACAGAGACCACGGCCCCTAGTAAGCGCCTTGCCCCGCCCCAGACCTCCCTGCCTGGCGCGGGGCACCGCCCACCCGCCCGGCCTGACACCCAGCCCCAACCCCTGCATGTGGCCCGAGCCGCCTCCCCATCCACCCGGCCTCGGGGCCCACCTCATACACGCCGCCCGTGTCTCCCCGCAGCTGCTGGCTGGTGTGGCGCCCGAGCCTAGGCGCCTTCTACATCCCGGTGGCTTTGATTTTGCTCATCACCTGGATCTATTTCCTGTGCGCAGGGCTGCGCTTACGGGGTCCCCTGGCACAGAGCCCGAAGGCGGGCACCGGCCGGGTCTCCCTGGAGCCGGGGGAGGAGCTGAGGGGTCCCACCAGGCTCAGGAGCAGCGGCCCCCTCCTGACTGACTCGGGTTCCCTCCTGGCGGCTGGAAGCACCGGGGTGGTGACGCCCGGGCCCCCGGAGGACGGCGACGGCCTCTATTCTCCGGGGGTCCAGCTGGGGGCGCTGGTGACCACGCATTTCCTCTACCTGGCCACTTGGGCCTGCGGGGCGCTAACGGTGTCGCAGCGCTGGCTGCCCCGGGTGGTGTGCAGCTGTCTGTACGGGGTGGCGGCCTCCGCCCTGGGTCTCTTCGTCTTCACCCACCACTGTGCCAGGCGCAGGGACGTCAGGGCCTCCTGGCGCGCCTGCCGGCCCCCGGCCTCGGCCCCCCGCGCCTCCCCCCGGGCCGCGCCTACCGGCCCCGAAGACGGGTCCCCGGTGTTTGGAGAGGGACCCCCGTCTCTCAAGTCGTCCCCGAGCGGCAGCAGCGGCCACGCGCCGCCCCCGGGGCCCTGCAAGCTCACCAACCTGCAGCTGGCGCAGAGCCAGGCGTGCGAGGCGGGGGCGGTGGCCCGCGGGGAGGGGGAGCCCGAGCCCCCGGGCCCCCGGGCCGGCCTCGGCCCGCGCCACCCTAACAACCTGCACCACGGCCGCCGGGGCCACAAGAGCCGCGCCAAGGGGCACCGTGCGGGGGAGGCCAGCGGCAAGAACCGGCTCCGGGCGCTGCGCGGGGGTGCGGCCGGGACGGCCGAGCTGCAGTCAAGCGAGAGCGGCAGCCCGCACCACAGCCCGTCCGAGAGCTACCTGGGCAGCAGCCGCCACAGCCCGGGCGCCGGGCCCCGGCTCGAGGGCGAGGCCGCGCTCACGCCGTCAGCCGGCCGGTCGGGCCAGCGCCGCAGCGCCAGCCGCGACAACCTCAGGGGCGGCGCGCTGGAGAAGGAGAGCAAGCGCCGCTCGTACCCGCTTAACTCGGCCAGCCTCAACGGGGCCCCCAAGGGCGGCAAGTACGAGGACGTCCCCTCGAGCGGCGCCGAAGCGGCAGGCGGCGGCTGCATGAAGACCGGCCTCTGGAAGAGCGAGACCACCGTCTAGGATGGGCGCGCGCGCCGCTTCGGCAAAAGCTGGCCGTGCGGGCTCGTGACCCCGCTTCTCGGGGCGGGGCGGGGGGCGCCTCAGAGACGTCGATCGGTACGCCCCCAGGTTGGAGCGGAGGTGCCTCGCTGTAGCTGAGCTCTCCCGCTGTAGTCCTGGAGGCCGGGGACGGGGAAGGCGCAGGCCCGCCACTGCGGAGAGGGCCGTCTCCCCGGGGTAGCGACAGACAATCCCTGGACCGCGGGCGGGGTAGGGTTCCGTCCCGGCCCAGACCGGTTTTCGGCAGCACCTGCCGTCCAGGCTTGCGGGCTAAGGTCCTAACGGTCTGCGGCGCGACCGAGAGTGGCGGGGACAGCACAGCTCGGGTGGGCCCCTTCTAAGGTACACCCGCCTCACTGGCGGCGGCCGCCTTACTGGGGAACACTGGTGATGGAGCCTGAGTGAGGCGTTCTCCCCTAACCGCCCTCCTCTGAAGTCACCTCTCTGTGCCCATACCCCAAAGCCTCTCTCACCCCGACTCTGGCTAACTAGGGAGCCTAGCGGATGAGCCAGGTGACCAGGACAAGCCGGAGGGAACAGGTGCTGCTTTTTGGAATTAACTATGCAAGAGGAGGGGTGGCGTGTGAAAGGCAGCTGCCGGGATCAACCAGCTCTCTGGGAGGGAGACGGGCAGGTGGAAGGGTGCAGGATTGGGGCTGGAGGCCATCCCCACGGAACTGGGACAAGAACCACATGGCAGCACTCAGAGGGGGCACTTCAGGACAAAGCTAAGGCCCCACACCTAAGACCTGACTGCCAGGCACCTGGGGAGGATAGGATAGCAGAGCTAGTACTTCGATTTGGGGCTGAAGGTAGTCCTGCCTCAAACCTAGTCCTACTGAAAAAAAACGCTCTGAAGAGGGGCGCCACTGCCAAGCTGCAGGCGGTGCTGGAAAAGCACTTACTGTCAATCGCAGAGCCCATATCCCCAGTCTCAGCCTTCCACCTCCCAGGGACTAAGAGCCCTCCACACCTCCATGAGGTCAGACAGGAGAACCTCATCGATGATCTGAGGTCTAGGTCCATATTAGAAACCTCCAAAAAATCAAACCAGCTCTCTGCCCCACTGAAGCCCAAACCAAATCCCCAAGGCAAAGGGTAGGGCCCCTGCGAATCACCTGGGACCTGTGCCTTCACTTTTAAACACCACCACTCATATTTTCCCCAACCTAAAGAGCAACCACCAGCCTTTGATTACAGCACATAATTAAAGTGGAGGAAATCTTGGGCCTCATGCAAAGCAACAGGTAAACTCAGCCCAGTCTCCATGTGGCTCCAGCCTGATCGCCAAGGCGAGAGCAGACAGACAGGGGAAAGGGAGAAAACCCACACGCCCTGAGATGGATCCTGTTATTTATGCTTGCTGCACAGACAATATTAGACAGAAGAAAAAAAAAAAAAGGCAAAAAAAAAAAAAAGCTTCATAATATTCTTCCACGTATGCTGGCTGCTGTTTACATACCCCGCCAATGCCTTAGCACTGGAGAGCTTTTTGCAATACGCTGGGGAAAGGGGAGGGAGGGGATGAAAAGTGCCAAAGAAAACATGTTTTTAAAAGCTCGGGTTTTATACAATAGAATGTTTTCTAGCAGATGCCTCTTGTTTTAATATATTAAAATTTTGCAAAGCCCTTTGAGCTATGACCTTACTCCTCCACCCACGGTCCTTCTGTGATGAGAGAGGATCTCTAACACTGTACGCATGAGCCCACAGGGTCTGTGAACAAACACAGGGCCGAGGGTTGCTGTTTCCATCCTCTGAGGGCTGGTAGTGCTGGGAATACCCACGATCCACACCAGGAGAGGCCCGCCAGTCCCACAGCAGCCGTGTATCCAATCCAATCAGGGAGCAGGAAAGCCCGTTGCTACTCCAGCAGCCCGAGAGAAAGCCAGCCCACAGAGCCGGGAGGGAGGCAAGCTGTTCTCTGGGACCAAGGGAGGGGACTCTCTCCAACCCGGGCATCCCCACGCTCCTTCTGACTTCACCTCTGGGACTGCACAACCCCTCTTGGGTCCCTTAAACGAGAATGGAAACACCTGAGGGCTTGTGGACAGTGATTCCTCTGGCTGTCAGGCCGCTTAGCAAGTCATCAGATGGGGGGAAGCACCCTCAATGCCCAGTGTGCATCAGGGGGGGTTCGGAACACTTTGGGCGGCTTGTCTAGCTGCCTGGGCCTTCTGGAAGTCCCTAACTTCCTGAGGGGTACGCAAATACTGCTCGATTTCACTATCAGAAATGTCTTCATCTCCAGTGACCGTGGAGACAGGGGGGGTGGGACAGACCCGCTTTGGGGGCTTCAACATGCAGGGTGGGAGGAGGAGGGCAGGGCTGGCAGGCCGCTTGACCGCAGGCAGCTCTAAAGAGCTACTCCCCACATCCTCCTCTTCCGGTCCTTGCCCCTGCCCCTGGCCCTGCAGCTCCTTCTCCCCGGAGTCCATCTCGGCTGTTCCATCCCGAAAGGCCTTGCGGACCAGCATGTGGCGGTGCTGGAGGAGGTCGCCTATGTGCTTGACCACAGACCGTTTGTCAAGCTTCAGAACCTGCAACCAGGCCAGCTGTTCGGCCATCTGTAGCAGCACAGCCAGCAGCTCCTGCAGGCGGGAGGAAGCGGGGTAGGGCAGGTCCACATTCGCCAATTTACAAAATCGGGCAAGGGAACAGCTCAGCCGATCTGAAGGCCGCAGGGACTGCCACGCCAGGAAAGTGGCAGCGGTGATGACGGGCAAGGGGTGCCGCCCGGTCACCAGCCACGTCTCATCGGCCAGCTCCACCAACTGCAGTGTTCGCGACAGCATCTTCTCCTTGTCTTCCACGTACTTGGCTGGCACAGACGGGGAGGCTTCAAACAGCTTGAAGCTGAAATAACCAAAATGAGGGTCTGGTCTCGGTACCTCCAGGAGACAGCTCTTCCAAAGCGCAGAAGATAGGCAAGCTATGCTATCCTTCCGGGAACAAACAGCCTGCTGGGTAGCAACTTTATTCAGGTACCAAGAGAAATCAGGGTGAGTCTCCTGCAGGAGAGGTGACGGGCAAGAGAGTGCAGAAGGGCGCTAACATCTAATGACAATCCCGCCTGCCCCCACCATCAGCCATCATTCTGAGTAAGTGCTTTACAAAATGTTCTCCTTTAATCTACTCAACACCCTGTAACGTGCATTTAAGAGTAGAAAAACTTGCCCACAGTCATCCAGCTTGGAAGTGACCAAGCTTCAAACCCAAGGTCATTCAACACCAACAGCTTTTGCTTTCTAATGTATTTGTCAGATATAAAGAAAAGAACAGAGCTACTTATTAAAGAAAAAAATTAGCTTCTAAGTCCAGCTCTGTCAGCTTGCTTGTACTCTCTCAGCTCTAAGCACACACGTGAGCCCGCTGAGGCAGGGCTGTGGCATTTAGTCAAGCAGGCCTGAGTGGTAGAACCCAGAAGCCCCCTGCCAAAGCTGATACTTAACCTTCCTACAGCATCAGGCTGCTGTAACAGCCAAGGGGTCTGAAAATGATACAACATTCTAGAAACGTAAAACGGGATTCACCCGACTAGTGCCAGGCACAGGAGAAGGAGAAAAAATTTTTTTCTCCACATCCTCGTAGAATGGACTTTGGTCAAAAAGAGACAACCGGAGTTAAAAGGATTCAGGTCTACACCATCCCACGCCCGCGTCTCCCACCAGGCACGTACCTGCTACAGTAGGTCTTCACCAGGTCCACCAAGCACAGAGATGGCACGTCCAGCCCCAGGAGCTTCACTATCTGCATGTAGGTTCCAGAAAACACATCCAAATCTGCATACAGCAGGGTGCAGATGGTCCCCATGGTCAGGGGCCAGTTTCGCTGCCGGCAGGTGATTAAGACACAGCAACCAACCAGCACCTCCTTCTTCTGCAGCCTGGCCGTGCGGATGCCAGCGTGCTGGTACGCCTGCTGGTAGTAGGCAATTGCCGTGTCCTCAAACGTTGGTGGCAGCTGCAGCACTCGACAGAGGTCTCTCACTCGGCGAAGACCTAGGAAAACCCGCGGCAGGAGTTAGAAGGGTTCCCAACAATACGTTAACAGGATCAGACAGCTTGATCAAGTGGGATTTTTCCCAGGGATGCAAAGATTTTTCAATATCCCTAACTCAATCAGTGTGATACATCACATGAACAAACTGAAGAATAAAAACCATATGATCATTTCAATAGATGCACAAAAAGCTTTTGATAAAATGCAACATCCATTTACAATTAAAAAAAAGAAATCTCTCCAGAATGTGGGTCTAGAGGAGACAACACATAATAAAGGTCATATATGACAAACTCTCGCTAGCATCATCCTCAATGGTGAAAAGCTGAAAGCACTTCCTATAAGATTAAGAACAAGACAAAGATGCCCACGTTCGTCACTTTTATTCAACATAGCTTTGGAAGGTCTAGTCATAGCAAACAGAGAGGAAAAATAAAAGCTCGCCTTGGATACCACATGCACAAATAATGGATCTCTCTACAATGTAAGAGTGACACTTGGTGAAGTCATTTGAGAAGCACAAAGCCTTTTGTGGAAAGCAGTCAATACTTCAGCGCCTCATCTTTTGCAGCTTGGTTTGATTTGTGACCAAGCTTTGACCTGGGTTCCTCAAATCTACCTCAAACATACCCAAGAAGACTTAAACCTTCCACCTAATTGCTACCTCTCTTAGAACCACCTCCATCCTTTATTTCTAATTCTCATTCTCTTCTTCTCTACCTTTACACAGTTAATGCTGAAAACAGAAAAGACAAGCAGACGAGCTGGACCATAAGGAGAATTTTATTTAAAGCCACTGTGTCATAAAACGTTGATTCTCACCTCGTTGCTGGCTTCGACTAACTTGTTCATTCTCCCCGGTGCTTCGAGAATATGTTACTTCTGTAAGATAATGGACAACAAACAGCTTGTTTAGCCTCTATTCACGGACCCCTGCCCTCTCACCACACAAAACCAGG